GACTTACAGATTTCATTACATAATTATGATATCAGATTGTTAATACATTCATAAAAATTTAATATGCAACTTTAACACACATAAAAATACAAGGTATCTTACATTTTATCTGGACCACTACTACCTAACAAAGAGAATGCTGTTAAATATACTTGAAGATACTCTTATTTGTTATACGTATATTTACCATCATAAACCCTCAACTTTTATGAATGAAGACATGCGCATTAACTCGGAACTGTTAGTTTAAAAACTAGAAATGATTAATAACAATTTTTGTAAATGTGCTTTGAAACAGTTAAGTCTAGAATACAAGCATTTAAAATCTAAAAGTTTTATAAAAGAATCTGATAACAGGCAAAATATGAGATTTATTTATTTATGTATTTTTTAAAATTATTTTCATGTACAAGTGACAGAACTAACTAGGCTTAAGCATATATATTACTATGCCAAATAATAATGGTGTAACCTACTTAGGCATAACTGATAGATTGAGCTCGAATTATAATACTAAATTTTGTGTTAAAAGAGCTGTATCAATGGTTTAAATTAATTCATAACCATGTAAGTTTTTAAGCATTTTTGTGTAAGAGACTTACAGATTTCATTACATAATTATGATATCAGATTGTTAATACATTCATAAAAATTTAATATGCAACTTTAACACACATAAAAATACAAGGTATCTTACATTTTATCTGGACCACTACGGAAACCACCAAAACCAGAGTTTATAGGGTGATGGCCAGCTCGAATAGGTTTAGCTAAAGAGGGGAAAAAATAAAAGACAAAAAAAATTTTTTTTATTTACAAATTATACTAAAATTCTACGTATTAACCTTCATCTTACAAAAAACAGAGGACGTTAATTTATACATTTTTTCAACAAAAATGGTTTCTCCTAGACAAGCAATACTAAAGCTTACCTATCTGGGCAGAATGTCCCCTGCGTGCTAAACTTTTCTGTCGAACAACTTCCTTGATTCTATCTACTTCATACTGGTACCTGATAATCAAAGCATTCAAATTATTAGAAGTTATTAACTTGAAACTTGTTGATCAAGACCCTAAATCTTAAAGCTGTAATAATATATTTAAAAAACAATTTTTATAAATTACTATTTCGTATTTTCAGACACTTTGTAGAAAGGTTAGTGTGAATTAGGAACGAACCTTTTTCGATCCTTCATAGCACTCTCTTTAGCTTCTTTTACAGCAGCTTCTAATCCTTTCACTCTTTCCAATGTGGCTCTCAACCTTTTTTCCAGTTTAGGTAGTTCACAGCGCAAATCAGCATTGTCACGAACAAGCTAAATTAATGTGAAACACAGAGAGACAATGAAACCCGAAACTTTATTTTACTTATGTGTAAGAGTTTTATATTCTATGAATGACATTAATGTGAAACACAGAGAAACAAGGAAACCCAAAATTTTATTTTACTTACATTTAAGTTTTATACTATATGAATGCTAAATTAATGTGAAACACAGAGAGACAATGAAACCCGAAACTTTATTTTATTTACGTGTAAGAGTTTTATATTATATGAATGACATTAATGTGAAACACAGAGAAACAAGGAAACCCAAAATTTTATTTTACTTACATTTAAGAGTTTTATACTATATGAATGCTAAATTATGTGAAACACAGAGAAACAATGAAACCCGAAATTTTATTTTATTTACGTGAAAGAACTTTATACTTTATGAATGATCCCAAAAGTACAGAAATAATAACAAAGAAGTTTCATCTATCAGTGAAATAATAGTATCTTGTCTTAAAGTACATTCTAATTTCTTCTCTCTGGAAATACTGGTTTTGAATGACCAAATTACTCAGAAACTTTATTGATTTTAGCCTTTAAAAGATTTGGAATCATTGCAAAATACATTCTAAATCAAAACTTGATAATTCAAGCACTTTATCTTCAACTGTGAAATCAAATCTTCAACTGTAGAATCAATCCAACAACCAATCTGTATTGTAGTAACTGAAATATTGTCACAAACGCTTAGTACAGTGTAGGACTGTTATATTAGACATCAAATATTTTCCGAACAATTACAAAACCTCTTATTCAGCATATCAGTACAAAATCTTTTAGGTTAGCAAATCAGGGTGTGCAAAATCTCATAATAATTTTTGTCCTATACCTTACCTAGGGAAGAACTAAATCGGAATTCACATTAAATACAGGTTTTTAATTCTGATAAATTTAATTATTTAACTTAATATCGAATCTTCCAGTTTAACGCAACAAAGAAGACAGATTGTAGAAATCTTTAGTTTCTACCAAATATGTGTTTTATCCTATCTCATGGAAATTATGATTTAATATAAATGAAAAACATCAGATACAATTTACATTAAATGTTATCACACTTTATTTCATAGGCAGTAAGAAAATAAAAGTTGGTAGTGTATAAATAACTAATTTTTAACTTTATTTGCAATGAAAAGTTTGGATCAAGACCACTAACAATGGCTAGTAGTAGATGATTCAGGGAGATACAAACATACAGAAAAATACTTCAAAAGTCCAGTTAAAACTTTCAAAAATTTTATCATCAATATAAGAAAAAAAAACCCTTATTAGAAGCAGAGTTCTTATAACTATATCCTAAAAGATGAATCTTTCTCCACTAACAACTAAAACTATCTGACCATACAATTACCTGTTTGTGGACCTTGGTCAGCTGTTCAAGATTGTTTTCTAAGAATGAGATTTTTTGTTTCTGAGCTAAGCTCACCCCAGTATCTTCTGCATCATCACCAGCTGCAGCCTTCTTCACCCGGTTCTGTAAATCTTGTACAAACAGTTTACGGAGATTGTGAAGGGTCTGCAGTTCTTTAGCCTACAGAAAATATAATTTTTTTTTTTTAGCTCAACATTTAAATGCCCAGAGAAAATATGCTTAAGTTACTATTTATTTAACGCCCTCTTTTTTCGATGGAGGTTGCCCTAGTTACTACCACTTTTGATGTCCACTTTTTTCGATGGAGGTTGGCCTAGGTTACAACTACTTTTCATGCCCAGTTTTTCCAAGGGAGGTTGGCCTAAATCACTACTAATTTTAATACCCTGTTTCTCTAATGGAGGTTTCATTAGGTAGCATTCATTTTAGGACTTGCATGTTCAATAATAAAACATAATCTAAGTTATAACTCCACATAAATATCCACGTTCAGTTGAATTTGCTTATAAATTTTCCAATTGTTTTAAAAATATAAAAGTTACTAGAAAATAAATCATAAAACCTTATTGGATAAATGTTCAAACTCAACAGAAGTGCACTTATCGTAAACAACATCAAACGACACATCATCTTATTCAATAAATGAATACTAAATAGTTAATTAAAAATATTCTTTAAAACCAACTATACAACTATAAAATAACTTACTCTGTTAGAGGTACACAAAGGAAGAACAGTTTAACCAATGACTAATGCCTACCACAGTTTCCTCTAATCCCTTTAAGTCCTGGTGAGCTTGTTCTCGTTGACTGTTTAGAAGCCTAAAATACAATTATCCAACAAAACCATAATATCAAACCCACACTAAATTAACAAGGGATTAGTTTGTTTGTATACATTTTCTTATTATTAATAACCTTTTATTTATGACCTCATTGGTTATTTCTTAGGTAGTTATTTTGTTTATTATAGCTTATGTAATACTGATGGGAAATTTCATTTTTAATACCACAGTTATTTATATGTTATATATATTTATGCATTATAATAATTCAAAAGATACTGATAAGATTCGACTTTCTTCTTTGTTTCGTTTGATTATACACATTTTTTTCACTCTTTTAGCATGACAAATGTTATTCACTGAAGTTAACATTAACAGCTGTGTAAACATGGCTTAACTTACGATAACTCCTCGAGTTTCTGAGATTTATCCTTTTCTTCCTGCTTCAGTCGTTCATATTCCTGCTGAAGTCGGTCCTGAGCCACAGAATATTTTTGGTTGGTACTAAAAAAATTAATGCTTAAATTACTTTTTTTCTGATGCCTTCTGATGATGTGTCATAACACTTTAAATTTTTATTTTGAAAAAAAAAAAAAGTAAAAAGGCCTTACTTTCACCGAGGTGTTTACCATCTGTGATTCAAGTTTCTTAACACCACTGAAGATTTAAAACGGAAAAATCTGACTAGATAATAAACATAGTCTAGTCAACCATGCCTTAGTGGGCAATCTTTTCTATGAACATATATTGGTCATTTATCAGATCTCTGATAGTTTTAACAGCGTACTTACTCTCTCAGCTGTTCAATTAACTCCTGTTTTACTGATATTTCATTCCTGAGAGTGGAAAGTTGCTTCTGGTGAGTTTCCCGATGTTTTTCGATTTGTTGCTCCAAAGCTTCCTTCATTTCTTCTGCTGTGTTCTTCTCCTTTTCTTTCTCTTTAGATGTCAAAATATGCATCTCCTCTATAACACGAATGAGCAATTATACGAATTTTGAAAAAATAATACAGAAGATCTTTCTGATGCCTAGCTCTTGAAACAAAAAATAACTTAGCGGGGATTTCTAGCCACTGAAATAACCCAAACATGTTAAATCAAAGAAGAAAAGCTCAGGAAACTACAAACAGATAAACAATAATACATTAATGGATGAAACAATTAAAAAAACTAAGCAAATTGCAATATTAAGTTAAAAAAAATTCAAGTAACATTCAACACAAGTATACAAAATTCACCATAAACTGAGATCAAAAACTGATCGTCAATAAATCTGGGT